ATTTCTAACCCCTCCCTGTCGAAAAGTAAAATTAATTAAGGATTCCTGTCTAAGGGGAACTCGGCGTATGAGGCTTCTATTAATTAAAAACCACTCTTAACTTCAAAGAAATTTACCTCAATTACATCATCAACCCAATCAGCAATTACAAACATTTTTATAAAAATTGTACAAAATGTTAAAATTAAAATAAATAAAATTTGTCTCATGCTTGAGCATAAAGATAGGGAGAAATTATTGATATTTATTTATTAAAAAATATTATTTTATTATATTAATTTAGGGACTTTTTTAGAAGGAAAGAAGAATATTTTTGTTTTATTGTATTTATTTGTGTTTGTTTTTCCCCAAAATGCGCGAATATATATTTACTTTAATTTCTGGAAATAATTTTTTAAACAAAAAAAACAATGTTTTTGAGGAGAATATTAATTATTTTATTCCTATATTGATTTTTATTAATTGAAGAATATTTAATTAAAAATATTTAATCAAAAGTATAATTACTGGCAAGAATAAATATAAAAAATATTTGACTAGATTTTTACATAAATTTATGAAGTGGCATTTGAGAACACGATATTTGAGGGTATCTGACATTAAATTGATCATATGTTGAGAAAAAGGGATAAAGAGAAGTGTCTAATTTTATAAAAACAAGCTAATAATCGCCCCTTAAAATGATACAAAGATTGAAAACAAGTGGCCCTAAAAATGGCCTAAAAACTAAGGAATTTGTCTGTAAACATACTATTAGTGGCTATAAATTTTTTTAAAAAATTGACCGATTTTGATTTTTTTGCTTTAAGATAAGCCTATTTTGAAGCTTAAATTTTTTGAAATTCAAAATATAATTTTAAATTCATGCTAGAAAAAGTTATGCTCAATATCCTCAAATACCGTGTTCTCAAGGGTCGTAAAGTCTATAAAATCTGATAAAATATTATTAAAAATTAAATATATTTTTATTTTCCATATCCATAAAGTAAAGGATTGAGCATTGCATTCATTACTATTAAATCTTCTACAAGTAAAGCTCCTTTCTCTACAAACATTGAATAAAGAGATTCATCACTGAATCGCAATAAATTGAGCACTAAAAAAAATAATATTTTTTAGTTGATAAAAGGGATACTGCCGACTCAATTCACAAAGGAATCTTGACAACTCAATTAATTATGCAAATAAGGACTACAATATTTAAGGATAATTGACATTAAATTGATCCTAAGTTATTGAAAAAAGGGTAGTTTTCTATGATCTAAGGGTTTAGGTGTATTAAAATTAACAAGAAAAATTTATGCTCAATATCCTCAGTTAATTGTCAAAAGTCGGGAAAAGTCGGTCAAAAGTCGGGAAGAGAAAGGGAATTTATCAATGATATTTCAGGGAACAAGGAGACCCTCAGTTAATTGTCAAAATTTTAAAAGTTATTGCTTCTTATATTCTTTTTTCTCCTTTATTTAGGTTTGTGTTAATTAGTTCCAAAATTTTATTAGTACTGTTTGATAGGTGTTTTTTATTCATGTTTTGGCAATATTTTGAGTCTATCTGTATTTAGCCCCCTAATAAAGGTTAATTATTCCAAAAATTATTCCTTACAATTATAAGGAAGCCAAAAAGCACAATGGGCAGCCACAATAAGCAACGAACGCAAAAAAACTTTTGAACGTAATTGTCTTCTCCAAAGTGGAGTTTTCGCTCTAGGGGCACAAAAAGAAGTTGAACACATTGAAGATTGTTTTCTAAGAGAATTATTTTGTTGTTTTTCGTCAAATAATTGGTTAATATAAATTGGCTGGGAAAGACGTCCTCCTCCTGTACGTGAAGACTTTTTATTTAAAGAATTCTCTGTTGATGGAGGGACGTTTAATGAACACCTTTTAGCTTTGCGTTGTAAGCCGTTGTTGCTGAAGATTTATTTTAAATAAAGTAAAAAATTTTTGAAGAGGATATTGTTTTAAAATTTAAAAGGATTAAGTATTGTCAAACAGTCAGTATACCGTTTAATACATAGAAGGATCAGATAAGTCTCTTATACAGGAAGTTCCACGTTAGGACCTACGTGAATATTACTGCTATTTACTTATAGTATAAGGAATTTGAGAAAAAGATATGAATGGCACACTACTATGAGTACACTAATAGGTGCCATATGCCATCCTAGGGCATTTTTGGGTGTATTTCTTCTCCTTGAATTCATATTTTCAAGGTTCTTAATAAAGTCACTCAAAAGTCTCTCAATATTCAATTAACATTTTTTATAATTTATCAGTATTTTTTTGATTTATTCTCTTTTTGTTACCTAGAAGTAGGATTTTCAGCATTTCTCCTCCTTGAATTCCTTTCAGATGCTGCTCTGCTCAATCTTGATAAAATACTCGAATTCCTTTTTGTTTGATATCGTAAATTTGGAGAACTTCCAGAAAGTGTAGAGGATGCAAACAAGAAAAGACTTAAAGATGTTGGAGCTTTTGGCGATGGCGGCGGTGCTGCACTTCCCTTCTCTTCTCCAATAACTTCTTCTTCAGGCACAGCAGCTAGTGGGGCTGGTGAACGGCAGTCGTCGCTATATTTTCTCCAAAAGGGAAAACAATTCAAGTCTTTGGAAAATCGCCTAAAAAATTTAAAATTTTATTTCTAGTTTCAAAAAATAGTAGAGGGAGTTCCGCTGGAACAGTTTATGCACACAAATTTATAAAACAGCCTTAGAAACCCCTAGAGCCATGAAATTTTGTATGGTTATACTTGATACTGTAATCTATCTATGTTGAAAATTTTGGAAATTTTGGTAGTGTATTTCAAGCTTTATGACCTAGAAAACGCATCAGATCGAATTTTTGGTGTTTTCTGGGAGTCACTCAACATTGTCAGTCATAACATTAAAATTCTTTGAGAGAAAATTCTAAAAATTTAGAGAAGGGAAGATAACACTATTTGGGATATCTAAACAAAATTTCACGTCCCTAGGTTGGCAAAATTCTGTTTCAAAAGCTCCGTGGCTAGACGTACCCCACTACTTTCTAATTAATAATTAACAACTTGCCAGGTGCTAATGCTGCTACTTCTCCTCATTTCTCCCTTTATTTGGCCGTTACTAGCTTTTGAAAATTTTCTTAAAGAAAGCTGACGTTTTTTGTTGTTAATATCGTCATTTCCTCCACTCCAATTTTCTGGGGCAATTAATGAAGAATAGGAATTACAATTAGCTAATAGTTGATTTGGTTTTAGAGTATAACGTATAACTCTCAAAACAATTAAAAAATAAGAAGCAAATAGGGAAATGAAAGGAATGACAAAAACTCCAGCTTGGTGAAGCAGTTCATAATAAAGCTGTGTTTGTTTATTTAGAGACCAATGTCTGGACATTGGGCGGGTTGAATTGTTGGAACGATGGTGTTCGGCTATCTAAAATGAGAGGGAGATTTTTGAAATTATTATTTGCATTATTTAAAAGGGTGGAAATAATTATTAAAAGGGGTGATAAATCAAGATTAACCATAGAACATTAAGATCACAGACTTAGTTCTTCTATGTCATTCTCGATCTTACTGTTGTTCTAACTAGATTTAGTATCTTATTTCATGTACACTTCAGGTTTGGTAATGGATACGGATACAAATAAGTTCAGAATACCTGCGGATATCCGCCTGTATCCGGATACAGATACCAAAATCCATGTAAGGCCCAAGCTATTCCCAAGAAAAGCCGTACCCTACGAATTGAAGAACCATTGCTTCCTTGAACCTGGCTTGAATAAACGACCTAAAACCAATTCTGGTTCTTTTTAATTTATAGTTCTCAACATTATAAATGATAAAGTCTTGAGCAACATTTCTCTAAATTAGCGTCTCCTTTTTATCTTTTTCTGGTTAACTACCCCATCACCAATTTATCATTATAGAATTTAAATATCCTCACACACCTGCCAAATTGTCGTGCATTGAGACCATCCTTTACTCAATTCAAAATTTGTCCAGAAAAAAATTTGAGGCAATGCACAAATAAAGGCTAAGGCCCAAGCTATTCCCAAGAAAAGCCGTACCCTACGGATTGAAGAACCATTGCTTCCTTGAACTTGGCTTGAATAAACGACCTAAAGATATGAACAATCATTATTGTTGATCTGTTCTCAAGTAAATTCAGCTCATTAGTAAAGAAATAATGGGAAAGAAAGGAGAGTACAGAAACTAATGTCGCTTTAATCGAGATGAAGCCATGAGGAGGCTTTTCTCCTGAATGAAGCCATGAGGAGGCTTAATTAAGGGAGGTAGATAAGGTATTAGGTCCCTATACTTTAATTTTTTCTGTCACTTTTATAAATTTAAACACCTTTAGCCTATCAATACCAATAGCAACAACAACATTAGAATTAGAATAATAAGTAAAAGCAGAGAGAAACTGATAAAGTCTACATCCAATATCTCCAAATAACCAACGATAAGACAACAACCAAATTAATTTTCCAAGAGCGTGAACAAGTAAAATGGCGAAATCAGTAATTGCCAAATTAAATTTGAGCAAAGTAAAAGAATTCATATGTAGAGGGCTGGCAAATAAAGCTTTGGAGTTTTTACATGGAAAACCTCTGAAAAAAGGATTTTTTTGTTAGTTTCTACTATCACTTCCTATGTATTATCACGGAGGCGTTTAGTTAAACATTTTAAACTATTTGTTAACTTTAACTATGTATTTGTTAAACATAAATCTTTTTATTTTTTGGTCTATAAAACAGTAAAACACTCAAAAAGTTGTGGTTATTATCCAATACCAAAATGTCCTGAGTCACTGTCCAAGTTATTTCCCTAATTTTATCTTTAAACCTTCAATATAACTCAGAAAAATACAAAATGAAATAGAAAATGTGGAATAAAAGTTCTAATCTATAAAGAGGTCCTATAGTCTTGAAGTGATTTAAAGCAGAAGGTTAATCTCTCGAAATCTGGACAGAATCTTGATTGATCCCTAATTATTAACGTATTATAACATTTGTGCTTGAAAATATTAGTTAAAATCCTTGGATAACCCTGTCTTGGAAGCAAGTTAAGATTTAATTTTTTCCTAAAAACTTCTTTCTTCAATCGCTCCCTTAAACTCACCGAGAAAAACGTATTAATCTGGCAAAAGACAAAAAATTTAAAAGAGTTCCAAAAACAATTAAAAAAGAAAGAGTTCCAATTTCCACAAAATCCACTAATTGTCTATCTGATGTAAAAATATATTTTTGTTCATCATTTAATAATTCTGATTTTATTAAAATATTGCTGTTATTATTATTCATTTTAAATTATTTTTTGAAGATTTTTTATTAGAAAAAAATTTTTTTTACAAATAATAAGTCATTCTTTCTTAAAAAATTTTTTTTAAAAACAATTCCTGGCTTCTCTAATTTTAATTTTAAAAAATAATTAAAATTAACAATTAAAAATTTTTTTTATTAAAAAAGGAAGCCAACAAAAAAATTAATGAAATTTATGCTAAAAATTAAAAGATTAAAAGAAAATTATTTTTAAATTTTTTAACAAAATTTTGTAAAAAAATGAAATTTGCAGAGATGTGGATAATTTTTAATTTAATCAAATTTTCTTTAAAATAAATTTTAAAAAATTTTCTAATAAGAGATCTATGATAGACAGAGGTTTTAAAAATTGAAAGTTAATTTTTTAGTCGACAGGATCCTTGGTAATGACCGCAGTTTAATAGTCATTGGGTTATACCTGCAACCTCGTTATAAAAACAAAATTATCTTAATTAAAAAAGGGCAGGTTTGAATTTGTTATTTTTAACATAAAAGGGTTGGTTGGTAGGTTCGAGATCATAACTGTATGAAACTCCAAAATTTTTCAGACGAAACGAACAAAAACAAAATTTTATAAAAATCATTTCGTTAACAAAACAAAAACAGAAAATTAAAAACTGTCTCGTCCCGAAACGAGACGAAATTTTTACAATCTCTGATCGAGATCGTAAAAAAATCTCGACCCTCGATGCCGAAATTTTTGTTCGAAATCTTGTCCCAACCCGATCGCTATTACTGACCCACATCTATTAATTAACCGTTAAATTAATGCAATTAGTTGGCCAACTTTCTTTTTTTGGCATTTAGAAATAATTTTTCGAAAATTTTTTAAAACTGATACAATTTAATTTTAAATAAAATTCTCTAACAAAATGATAATTTAAAAATAACAATTTTAATTATCGTCTTCCTTTTTGGATAAAATATATTTATTTTTTAATCGACAGGAAACATTTAAAAATAAAATAATAAATTAAATAATGGCAATTAAATTTTGTAAAAATACGTAAAATTTAATAGATTTTACGTATTTTTAATTTATAAAACAATTTAGAATTAAATTTTAAATTAGGAATTTCATACTGGAGACCGGACTGAGTAGAGATCTCGATTCTTGTACGACACTCCCAGTCCGTACAACACTACCAACACTACCAGTCCACTTTTGAAGTAATTTTTAAAAAATGAGGAAAATAATTTTTTAATTATTTTGTCATTTAATTTTTAAATAAATATTAAAGTTTATTTCTTTTAAATTTAAAAAAAATTATTTAATTTTTTAAATGTTGCAAAAACAGCGAAAGAAAATTTAAAAAAATTTTCTTCAAAAATATCAGAGACGTGTCCAAAAGTTAAAAATCTAAACCATTAATTTAACTTAAAAATTCTCAAAAATGGCGATATCAAAAATCAGAGAGTTTAATAACTGGGCGTGAATAGGCTCAAAATAAACATAATATTAAAAGGATATAATTAAAATTATTTATAAATGTTACAATTCTTTAATTGTTTTTAGTTAAGGCTTCAGATCTTTGCTTTTGCCAGGCTTTTTTAATATTAACAAACTTTAAATAAAAATTTTTTCTCAATTCGCAACTATCCTAAAGCTTTTTTAAGCTGTTTTTATTAATAAATAATAGTGAAAAGCTTAGAATAAAAATTAATAAAGAAAAATTAAAAGAAAAATAAAATTAAAAAAAGGTTTCTTTCATTGACGCAAAATGCAACAAATTGAAAAAAAATATTTTTTAAAGTGCAAATAAGGTAATTGTTGATAAACAACTTTTTAATAAAAAAATTATTCCAGAGAATTTTTGAGGGTTTTCTTTTTTTTTGTAATTTTGTTTTTGATTAAAAGAAAATGTTAAACAATAAAGGAAAAAAAATATTTAAAATTATATAGTGCCCAAGAAATAGAGATTGGTAAAATCCCCCTCACGAGATCGCCTAACGGGATAATTTGAAAAAGATTTCGAACAGGAGGGAACTCATGGATTTAATTCCAAAAATGAATCAAAAGTAACCTGAGATTATTTTTTATAATTTTTTTCAAAAATTAAGTGAAAGGATTGCTGAAAATCACGGATTTAATTTTCAAAATCCCGTCGTTCCGAGAATTGTTTTAAAAAATCTGGATTATTTCGGGACGCTAAGATTTACACAAAAAGTAATCGACCGGCAATTATTTTGAATAAATTTACTCAAATTGAAGATAGGTATTTAATATAATTTAAAAAATATCCAAAAACTTGCAAAAAATGTTGCAAAACTTTGTCGAATTTTTCCTTGAAATTTTATTTCAAAAAAAATCCAAAAAACATTTTTAAATCCATATTTAATTCTCAATCTCAGATAATCTTTCCGTTAATTTTTGAATAAAAAATAATTTCCGATTACTCTTGGTTCGCTCTGTAAATTTTCGAAAAAAATAAATAAAATTTTTTGTTTAAATAATTTTTAAAAATAAAATATGGAGTTTAAAAATATTTGTCTAACAAAATAAAAAATTAAACAATAAAATTCTAAAAATAATTTAAAATTTTTAAAAATTAGACACGTAAATATTTAAAATTAAAATTAGAATTATTTTTTTTTAATTTTAAATTTTTGTTGTAAAATTTGTAGTGTTTTGGAGAAAATATAAAAATAGGTATTTTAATCAAAACACAAAAATATTATTCTTTAAAATAAATTTAAAAAAATATTGCTTAAATGTCTATTTCGGGAACAGAAATATTTACAAAAATTTAATTTTTTAAAATTTGATTTGCCAAAGTAGATTTTAAAAAACAAAATACAGTAAACGAAAGCCAAAAACTAAAAAAAGACGAAAAATAAACAAAAAGTCGAAAAACGAAACTAGCAACATCCGGTTAAAATGACAAAGTTAGGGGGTGTATGCAGACCAGGGCTGGACACAATTCCGGATGTCGTATTGCGGATTGGATGAAATTGCGTGTTTTTTTTGACTTGCGGATTACGTTTGCGGATTTTAAAATTAAAATTGCGAAAATAAATTTCCAATTGCGCCTAGTCCTGACGCAAACCCCTTCTAATTCCCGCCAGAAAATCCTTTCGACCCAGGAAAGTCGGGGTGTGTGTAACCTTTGCCTGAGCTATTGAGTTAAGATTTAATTTTCCTTTTTTACATCTTAAACCCTTCCCTAAACGTTGTACATGCTAGCAAGCGGCATCTTCCATTCCCGACATGAAAAATAATTTTTTTTCAAAAAATTTTTTTATATTTAAAAAACATTGTAAATATTCTCTCTCGCAATTTAAAATTTCCGTTATTTTTTAATGAACAAAAATATTTTTTTAATTTTCCTACATATAAATAATTAATTAAAAATTTAATATTTAAAAAAAATAAAAATAGAATTATTTTTATAAAACAAAAAGAAATATAATTTATTTCCATATTTGTATATTTTTATGTAAATTATATTGTAAAATACTATTTTATCATTTTTAATAAAAAAATTAGAAAAAGGTAAAAGAAAATTCAGGGTAAAAGAGAGAGAAAAACGGATAATTAAGGGTTGACTGGGCGCGGACACGTTTCGGCGTTTGTTTATAAAATAATCAAATTAAATCCTATAATTCTGAAATTTTTCAGAAACATTCTAAATTGTGTCTTTTAACAGAATTAAAAATTTCAGAATTTTTGGACGAGTATTTGGGAAGTTATGGTCAAAAATGTCTATTTTTCTTTAAAAATGCCCATTTTGACACCATTTCTGACCATAAATTCTGAAATAAAAATCAGAAAATTCTGAAATTTTGCAGAAACATTCTAAATCGTGCCTTTTAACAGAATTAAAAATTTCAGAATTTTTGGTTAAGTATTTGGAAAGTTATTGTCAAAAATAACGATTTTTCTTCAAAAAATGTCCATTTTTTGTATTTTTATGGCCATAAATTCTGAAATAAAAATCAGAAAATTCTGAAATTTGCAGGGAAGATAAATAACACTATAATGGATATTTACACAAAATCTTGAAGTTCTAAGTAATCGTTACACGTTAATTTTATAAGCGTGCGTTCCTACGTTCCCACGCCCAAACCTCTCACCCCCACAATACTAAAAAAGGGTGAAATAAATTAAACGTCAAAAAAGAAAAGACGATAAAAAATATGAATAAATTAATTGGTAAGATAATTTTAGCATAAATAATACATATTAATTTTTGAATGCAAAAATAGAAAAAAAGTGTTAAGGGAATGAAAACGGAAATGGATATAAGCCATCAATAACCAACCAATTTTAATTTTAAGCTGTAAAAGTGAAATTAAAAAGAGGAATATTAATAGTAAAAGGTTTTTAGAAATTAAAAAAAAATTTTTTTAATTTAACTTTTAAGGTTGCTTTTTAACAGTATTTCTTGCTTCATTATTTATGAGGACTTTTTTGCGGACTTTTCCGTTTCTTAATATTCTCATTTTTAAGATAAGGATATGACGCTTTTTCATTATTTTTAGGTTTTTTTACTTTAAATTAATCCTTCCTTAATGGTTAATTAAATGGCAGGAAGACGAGAAAGGACAGGGAAAAGTCCGCAAAAATAAGTCCGCAAAATATGTTTGCAAAAAGAGTCTGCAAGAAATTCTGAAAGAAAAAGTCCGCAAAAAAAAGTCGGCAAAAAGGCAAAAAAAGAGTACGCAAAAAATCCGCAAGAAGTCTACAAAAAAGAGTCTAAGATCCGCAAAAAGAAGTCTGCAAAAGAAATCCGCAAGCATTTAAAAAAACATCCGCAAAAAGTACGAAGAACAATACCTCAAAAAATTTTTCTATTTTTTTCCTCGTATTTTTCTATTTTTAGAAAATGTCTGGATATTTAAATTTGATTAACATAAATTTGTAACATTTCTTTAACAAAAGAAAAGAAAATTTTGGACAACGAATTTTTTAGCTTCCTTAAAGTGCTGAAATTTACACAGTCTATTTAATTCTTTTAAAATAGTTAGTGGAGGATATTTGAAAAAGAATTTAGAAAAAAAAAAGATTTTTTAACAGAAAGAAATGGAGCAGAAATTGTGGGAAAAGAACAAAAAAACAAAAAAATTTTTAATAAATTATGTGTGGGCTATTAAGCTTTAATTTTTTGTATATTCCAATTAGTCTAATGGAGATTAATTTAAAAATAAATAAATATATTATTGTGTGGGAAGAAAATTTAAAAAAAAATTTTTTATTTTAAATTATGTAAGGCTGCAAGTAAATTTGTTACAAAAATAGAGAAAAACATGTGCAAAATTTTTCTGGTTTTGTGTAAATTAATTATTAATTTAGGAATTTTTTTAAATTAAAAATAAAAAAATATTTTTTTAATAAATTTTTTTGCAAACCCCTATACCGGAATAAAGCTGAATGTTGAGCAGAGAGAAAAATATCGAAATCGAAAATCGAAATTTCGACGCAGCTCTGATTTTGAGAAGTGGAAATAAAACCCCCCCCCCCTCCTGATTGTGATAAGCCAGAAACATCTGGAGGAAATTTTGAGGCTTCAAAAATATCCTAAATGATTTTGGAGATTTTATATTTATTGTAATGTTCATATATCCCTAAATTATCGAAGTTTCATCAAATTAATTAAATAAGATTGCTTAATTGGTCTTATTAAACTTTAAATAATACGTTAAACTTTAAATAATACGTTAATTTTTCGTTAATTGAGCTTTAAACTTTAAATAATACATTTATTAGCTCATTTTTCGTTAATTTTTCGTTAATTTTTCGTTAATTCACAAAATATTTTTTATCAAATTTCGCAGGTTTAAATAATCACGGTTGTCTGCAAATATGCGAATATTAGAGTATTTTTCAATTTTGGGATACACAAATCATTTTTATTGTATAAGAGGGCCAGTCTAGTCTTAAATCTTTTGCTTATTAAAATTAGTCTCGGTATATCTCCGCTAACAAATTATTAAAAATGCTGATGTTTGCAGATGTCTCGGAAATTATTATTTGACTGCAAACCCTTTTAAGGACTATTTAAAAAGCCAGAAAATGAATTCAGTCTAGAATTGCCTGAAAAGATTTGGATATCTCACGAAAATGGAAGTAAAAAAGTGAAGGAGGTTCTTAAGTATTTACTGGAAGACAGCTGAAAATTTTCTCATTTTAAAGTCATTTTTAAAAAAATCAGGTGAAAAAATGAGAATATTTTAAAAATATTTTAAAAAATATTTTACAGAATTATTTATTTTATTTTATTTAACATTTTAAGATTAACATTTAAAAAAATTAATACATTAAAAATAATTTTTTTTTGAAAAATTATTTTTAATAATAACTAGTAATTTAATTTTAGCCTTGCAAAAATTAAAAAGCAAAACACAAAAATTCCAATGATCATCATTTTTGGCCTATAAATTGGCTAAATTATTAAAAGAAGGTGAAAAAATAAAAGCAAAAAAATAAACAGAAAAACTGATAAAAAATTAAAGAAAAAAATTTTTTCGAAAGAAAAAAAAATAAATAACAAGAGTTTTCAAAAGTTTTCCCATTTTCCCTCTGCTAATTGCTATCAAATAAATTATTCTTAAGAGGAAAATGAAGCGCTAAAAGGAACACACACATTGTTAAACTTTAAAAATTAAAAAAAAAAGTTTTTCTAAAATAATTATTTTGTGATATTTTTGGATTAGTTAATTCTAAAAATAAATTTTGTATTTTAAAAAAAATTTGGAAAAAATGAGTGATGTGGAATTTGCGGTTTGGAGACTTGCGGACAATAAACTTAGAGAATGGAATTGATAAACTACTATTTAATGTTTAATTTAAAAATAAAATTGATATTTTAAAAAATAAAGAATGGAGGTACTTTATGGATGTCAGCCCACTCATTTTGAGCCTCGAGTTTTCCTTAGAATGTACATAATGGTCAGACTTTCTTACTCTTTGCTTATTCTAACATTTAAATATGTTATATGGAAATAGTTAAGAAATTGAGGAAGGAAGTATAAATTCAGAATAGTAGATCCTCTATTGTATATGACCCTAAGGTTAAATTGCATCTAGAAAGGTCTAAGTTAAATTGAGATCCTGATTTGGTTTGCGTCACGTTTTTTGAAATTGTCCCTTGCGTTCAGGCCTTTTCTATGTAATATTTGTTTCAAATTTTAGATAGGTACATTATGTTTACTGCGGAATGATAAGTTAAAGTTGACCTAAAAAATTATTAAAAGACAATAAAAGCAAACTTGGGCAAAAAACTATTTGAATTAGTATTATTATTCTGCCGTAATAGTAAGAGAAAAAAATGAACTTTATCAAAGAAAAAAGTTTAATTATTTTTCATTTTCCTTATTTTTAGTTTTCTACCTACAAAAAGTATTTAAAGGTTGACCTAAAAAATATTTTTTATTTATTTTTATTCGTAATTTTAAATGGAATGTCCACAACCTTAATTTACTACAAAGGTTTCCTACTTGACGATCCCTAGAAATTTCAAAGTTCGAGGGACGAGTAACCTTTGGTACGAGCGTTCTGCTATATATTTAGTATATAGTTTATAGTTTTTATTATTTCTCAGATTTCCTCAAAATTTCCCTTAAAATTTTAATTATTTAATGAAATTTCAGATTTGAAAAAAATTCAGCGAAAGAGCCAGCCATTACATTAAATTCGGCAATTCCAATATCATAGAATTTCAGATTTGAAAATTTCTTTTGCAACTTAACAAATTAATTTTTCATCTAATGGCGCTTAAACGAATTCAGAAAGTTTGTTTTAATTACCGTATATGCTTGAATAATCACCCCCTCTTTTTCCTACACTTTGTTGAGATATATCCCGGATTTAGCACCTCCTCTCGATTAATTACCCTCTTCAGCGAGAGGTCGAAACAATAATTACCCCATTTAAACGGCATATGTGGATTGAGTGAAAAATATTTGGATCTCAGCTTAATTTTTATTTATGGGGAAGTGGATAGTTGATAAGTATCTGGAAAAATTTCAGTATATTATTTTTAGGAGCTTGTTGACTTTCAACTTGAACCTCCAGCTTTGTGTAGCGCAGGGCCTATCAATGGAGATCTTTTTAATTGGCAAGCTACAATTACTGGACCTCCAAATTCGGCATATCAGGGAGGGGTGATCTTCTTGAATATTAAATTTCCAAATGACTATCCATTCAAACCGCCACAAGTTAGGTTCATAACAAAAATTTACGCACCATATGTTAACAGCAATTTGGGTACTATGTGCTTGGATATTCTTAATAGCAAGTGGTCGCCGGCTTTGACTATTTCTAAAGGTAATTTTGAAAAGGAGAGATGAAAGGACACGAACCTAAGATTTACAAGTATCCGGTTCCAGAGGAAATGCCAGAATTAATAAACCGTAGAGAGTAATGTCTCCATTTGTGATTTTTGCACGCCACTTACCGTACCTCGAATAATTCCCCTCTCTCGAATAATACCCCCTCCTACGGATGAGTTGAATCAATAATCCCCCTCCACCAATAGGTGGTAAACATTTAATCGACTTCAATATTACCTAAGTCTTAAAAATCATTTTCAGTTCTGATATCAATTTGCTCTATGTTAGGCGAAGTTAACAGCAAACATACTCATTATGCTACGGCTCGTGAATGGACGCGAAAATATGCAATGTGACCGATTCGGTTAAAGAATTATTTTTTAAGAAAGAGTTCAAGAAATGCTTAAGACTGATTACTCGTTTTTTAAATTTTAAATTTTCTGTATTAAATAAAAATCAAAATTTTTTCATCAATTTTAGAGTTCAGCGGGATCGGGATCCCGGTCGGGATCGGGCGGGATTATCCCGGGTTTTTCGAATCCCGATCCCGATTTTTCTGATCCCGGTCCCGAAATAAATATCCCGATCCCGGCCAATATCGATCCCGAGCCGGGATCCGGGATCGGGATCGGGATGTGCATCAGATCCCGATGCAAATCCCGACTTTATAAATTGACTAGAAGTCTGTGAAATAAAGTTAACAGAAGAGGGGAGACATGAAAGTAAGAAAAATTTTCGCCTGCGGCGCAGAAAAAGGAAGAAATTTGGCTTCTTGAAATCCAAAATTCTCAAAATTTTCGCCTGCGGCGCAAAAAAGGGAGTGACTAAGGCATTATAGAGATGCCTTAATCACTGTCTTTAAAACTTTAACGAAATATTGAGTGATTTGGTGTGATATCGACCCCCCTTTACTTTATCCTCTCACCCCCCTTTACCTTATCCTCCCTTAATCCCCTGAACCGGAAAGTAAATCATGCGTCTATGAGGCTTAAATTCACTATTTCTGCACCTCAGTGGAAATTTTAGAATTATATTGAGTCGTAATTGAAGAAAAAAAAATTTAAAAATTTTTTAAAAAATTTTTTAGTAAATCCCGATCCCGATTTTTCAATCCCGGTCCCGATTCGGGATCGGGATCGAGATCGGGATCTCCATTCCAAATCCCGATCCCGATTTCGGCTAATCCCGATCCCGTGTCGGGATCCGGGATCGGGATCGGGATCACCATTCCTAAATCCCGATCCCGGGTTTTTCTCGAAATCCCGATACCGCTGAACTCTAATCAATTTAAATTTATGCAAAATTTGCATTCATTTGATAAAGAATTTTCAACTTGAAGTTTTTTAACTTGTTAAGCCTTTCTTCTAGTTAATTGAAAATGAAAGATAAAAAAATTTTTAGTTAATTTAAGAAAATAATTAGAAAATACATAAATAGGATTTTCGTTAAAATTTCGGTTTGTATGACTATTTTACTCATTTATTCATCCCCTCAAAAAAGGAATAAGTGCGTTTTCGATATTTTAAAGGTTTGGCAGTAGGCTTTTTTTAATTTTTAATTTAAAAAACCTAATTTTCAAGTTGTTTAACTTAAAAATTAGGCACATTTTTAAATAAATAGGTAAATACAAGCCCTTTTAGCAAAAATATTTATTAAGTAATAATTAAATTATTTTTTTAGTTTTCTAAGAAATGGTCTCGATTTCCAAAAAAAACTCGTATTTATTTTATTTAATTGCGTAAATTTATTTTTAATTTATAGTTTTAGTGAGGTTTTTTTAAAAAGGTTTTTTGTTGACGAATAAAAAAATTTTTTTTAATTTCCTTAAAATGAAAGAGATTAAGTTCTTAAAGTTTTTAATGAAAAAAAAATTAATGAAAAAATTTTAAAAATAAAGAAAAAGGACGGAAATTAATTGAGAAGGTTTTTTAATTTAAAAAAGGAAATTTAATACCATGAAATAATATATATGAGTATATTTTTGTTAATCCTTAGTTTATTAGTTTTTAGAAAGAAAAGTGTAAAATTCTATTTAAGTGTTAATTTAAATTTTTTAAATTAATTATTTTATTTAAACGGAAGGATTAATTAGTAATATTAAGATGGGAGAGCAGTGCAATGTACCGCAGAACTATAACTTTGTTCAGATTATTCGAATCCGGTGCGTCTTGGTATGGCTCGATGCGTCTTGACGAGCTGAATCGAACCATATCAGGGCATCCCGGATTCGACAATTTTTACCCAATTTATAGCTATGCGTTCGTGATAAATCGGGGCGTACCCATTAAGGTGATGATAATGCGTAAGAAGTATTAAATAATCCGATATTAAACGGTTAACGTTAAAATTGACAAATGAAACGAGATCATATGTGTATCAGTAAGGGTTTGGTTAAGTTTCCTTCCGGTACAGCAAAGAAAGCAAACGTGAAAATGATCAGTCGGTGGTGGGAATGTTCTTATCCGAAATTTATCCGCTATTAGAGAATTAGAGATGTTATTATCTTGGATGGACTTTACTGATTCATATACCGGGAAAAGAACTATAATAAAAATTATAAATTAGAAACAAGTGAAAGGGAGAGAGATTTAATTTGTTATCCTATACATATATTATTTTAAATGAAATAAATTGGAATTAATTAAAGATTACAAAATAATTATTATAAATTTTACATTTATTAAATTTTTAAAATAAATACAAAAATAATAGCTTTAAAAAACAAAAAGAATTTAAAAAAATAAAAATATATTTGACTTCGTTCAAAACACCAAAAACTATACCGAAAAAGGGTAAAAATATCCCTAAACTTTGGTTCCGGTTATCAGAAAATTTTTCAGGATCCATCATTTTTAATAAGAAGCCCCACTATAACCCTTAGACAATTTAATCCGAGTCTACTTTTTATTTTTATTTGCACCTAATAAAATTTAGAAATTTAAGAATTTTGTGTGTTTTGATGATTATTTTGATTATTATTATTGTTTGTATCTTTCCCAGTAGTTCCTTCTTTCCCCTGAATTCTTCTTCCAAATCCATAAAGAAAAGGGTTAATTAACACAATTAAAAACTGTAAATCCTTCAAAACATTGGCCTGTTCACTTAATTGTTCGTAAATTCTTTCATTACAATGCTTCATTAAAGCATAGAAATTATAGGGGGACCACAGCAATACATGAGCTAAAATGACTAAAAGTGTTGCACGAAAAGCTCTGCTTTTTAAATGTCTTCTCCACAAAGGTAGGGAAGAGGAACAAGAAGTCCCTTTACATCCTCCCCCAATTGTTGAAACTGAAGAAGAACGAATTGAAGAAGAACGATTTTTGGAAGAAGGTAATTCTGAAGAATTTTGGTGGTTTTGTTGGTGCTTTTTAAGTGCTGAACATATCCCTCCTACTCCGTTACTTCCAGAACGTTTTTGGCGGTAACGAGGGTTGTAGTGGCCTAAGGAGGCGGAGAGAGGACGATAACCTGTAAATTCTGGAAGGATTTTGTTTTTGTGTTTTTTGTGTTTTAAATTGTCTTTTAATCTCCTAAGTCTGTCCTAAGTTCCGAGTTAAAAATAAATCTTTGGAAAATTTTTTTGAAATTTTAAGACTATTTGATATAGAATAGAGAAGAATGACGATTTAATTGAGTGGAAAATACTTAAGCTAGTCTGATCTTAAAATCTTTGAGAAAATAAATTATTTGATTATTTTAATTAAAACATTTGAAAAATAAAGATAAGCGTTTAAAGGAAAATATTTTAGGAAAATAATAAAAGATTTTTTAGGATTATTTTTAAAAATAAAATATATATTTAAGTATTATCGTCATAATTTAGAAAATAAATTTTACTTCCAATATTTAATAATTTTTAAAAGAAAATTTTAAAAATAAAGGTCAAAAGAAGAAGAAAAGATAAGAAAGAAGCTTATTGTTATTAAAAAATATTTTTATTAAAAATAAATTAAAAGAATTTAAATTTTAAAAATATTGAAAAATACGTAACTATGTAGAAAGAAAAGAGTTTTAAAAAAAGAAGGAAATAAAAGGTTGAGAGAAAGGATTTTTAAAAAGGAGATTTTTAGAAAAAAAAACAAAAAATAATAAAATAGAATTTAATATAAATATTTAGACAAGTGCGCAATTAAAAAAAATTTTTTGAAAAAATTCTTGACATTATGTTAAAAAATTTGAAAATTAAAAAAAAAAATTTTTTAATTTTTAAAGTAAAAAAAACTATCGTACAAAATAGTCAATTTTGATAATAAATAAAAGTCGAAATAAAAGTTTGTGGATGTTAAAATAGAAGAATATTTTTACCAAAAACAAAAAGTGAAGGGGCAAAAAATCAAAAATTAATAAAAATTAATTTTGACATTTTTCCAAAGATTTATTTAAAAAATATACATATACCTAATTAAATTTTTCGGATGTTAAGATTAATTAAATTTATTTTTAACTTGAAGGAAAAAATATTTTTTTTCAAATAAATAAGTGTACCTTCACATATATTTGGTGATTTATTTCTTTTTTCATTTTCACACTTTTCAACGTCATAACTTTCTTCCTCCCCAATTCTGGCATCTTCCCAACTTTCACCAGAACAATTTAAAGGAATATTATTTGGAACAAGTAAACGATGGCCTTTGGAAAACTGAAAAAAAAATAAATGAGAATAAGAGAGAGACAGGTGCAGGCCGCAGCCCCATAGAAAAGTCAAGTGAGAAGATAAATTGATAAAATTTGGCAAATATGTCTTAAATTAGTGTATCTGATACCCCAAAAATTTTTATAATTTATAGTCTTTTATTTAATAAATTATGGTCGAAAATGTCAAAATTTTCGGTAAGATAAAAAAATTTTCTTCGAGTTTTTACCTATAACTTTTCTATATTAAAAGAAACAGAAATTCTAAAATTTTAAACAAGAAAATTCCACTATAGTTGTACCAAGCTTTAAAATACTCAACTAAGATAAACTTCGATTTAAGATAAAATATTAAGCTTGAGTTTATCATTAGTAGATCATTAGTAGATGTGAGAACTAACAAAGCGATACCCTCTATTTATTATACATAAGGCATTATTTTTTTCAACCCAAGAGTATTAGTCCCTCCCTATCTAATTAGTCCCTCCCCGATCTAAAAGTGAAGGTTAATTGTATGTATAAAGAAAATAGTTGATCTTAGATTACTTTATGGGCGTGTACCTAGTATTACTGCGCCTAAACTATCCAAGAAATTTTTTAAATAAAATTTCTTTTAATTAAAAGAAAAACTTACTCTTAAAGTAAAAGAATTCCTCAATCTGACAAAAATTCTTTTTGCAGAAGAAAAGTTTTCTTGATCAATTTCAACTTGATTTTGTTGTTTAGAGGGTGTTAAATGGATAAAATTGGAGGAAGAATTTGTGGAAATTGAGCTTCTACAGTTACACAAACGGCTAGATCTTCTTATATAATTTTTATTATTTGGAGAAACTGCGCCGTTGAGAGGAGGAATTGGGGAAGTAGTTTGTGGCAAATCTAATGAGAGAAAAAAATTATTTGAACATAAAAGTTTGAATTTATGAGACTAGATAAGAGCTTCTTGTGTTTCTTTCCCTTTTTGTGTTTAAGATTTTATTTAAAAAAATTTCTGGAGGATCTGAAGATTAAAAGGAAGAGGAGAAAATCAAAATTCATCTCCTCCAAAATATTAGTTCCTCCCTATCTCAGGACAGATTTCAGAGGAAAGGCTACATTAAAATCCAAGAAACCGAGATTCTTTTACGTTTAACTAAGTTTCGTATTTATCAAAAAAAAATTTTGAGAGGTCAGAAGATTTAAAAAGAGTTCCTTAAGCTCTCCCGAATCTAAGCCCACATCCTAAAATTTTTTACGAGTAAATTTAGGTTCAGATTAATAAACTTTCTTTAAAAAAATTTATTTTTGTTCATTTCTTTGATAGAACAACGTGAACCCTAAAATAAAGCAAAATTTTCGTTCCATTACCTTCACTACTTTTCATATTATTTTTATCAATTTCGCAATCATTTTCATTTGTAAAAGATGATTTTTCTGGTGTAGGGGATAATACAGGTTGATGAATACAGTCTCTACTATCATTTATTTGACAATATAATCTAACTGCTGGGAAACTTTTAACAGAAGCACGTTTACTACAACGACGCTTCCAACCATTTTTTCGATTGTTTATTTCGTTGTTGGTGACAGAACAATTTTGTTGGGCCGTTGACTGTGGGGTCTAAAAGAATTTTTTTTTGAAAATTTTGAAAAATTATTTTTGTTAGAGTATTTTTAAAAATAATTTATTTGTTAAAGGAATTGATTGGCCATAAAAAGAGTTTGAAGAAGTTAAGCCTCAGAAAATCCCAGCATCACTTAGAAAATCATAGGATCCCCCAGACACCTAGGTCATTTCCTTAGGGAGTTAGGGCATTATCTTTTTTAGTCAAAATAACTTTTTTAACCGCCTGCTTCGAATGATCCTTAATATGATCAATGCCTAAAAAGTTACAGTCAAGTCTAAGCTGGCTGGCGCTCAGTTCGTCTTTCTAATTTACAAGTTTCTTAAGGCGAATGGGACAAGTACAATCTAATTTTTAATAAATTAGGTAGCGATATCAATTTAAAGTAACACCGGCACTGCGATCACAATAAACACTACATATTATAATAGTCATGAAATCTCAAAAATTAATGAGAAAAGCTTTAATTAGTCATTTAAAACCCATAATTACAAAAATTATTTTATATTTGATTTTTTTTACCTTTGCAATATTTCTCGGATTGTTGGCTGCAAAGCGAATAAGTCTTGTTGATATTAACGCATAACAAATAATTAAAACAATTAAGGGGCCATAAAAAACCAGAAACTTTAAAAATAATTAATTTTTTATTTATTTTAATTAAAATTCCCACTAAATGTGTTAATTCATAGCCATTTTGAATTAAAGGACTAAGCACAAATTCTTCCCAATTTGAATTATTTTTTTGTAAAATATTTGTATTGGGTTGTTGTTGTTCTAGTAGATAACGCTCATAGCGGTCAATACTCCAAATCTATTAAGTTAATTAATTTTTTAAAAGAAAATTTTTAAAAAAAAATTTTAAGAAAATTTTCAAAAAATTTCTTTAAATTTTTAAAAAATTTTTTTGAAAAATTTTTAAAAATTTTTCAAAACTTTTTTAAAAAAATCTTAAAAATTTCTAAAATTTTCTAAGAATATTTTTGAATTTTTCTCGTCTCAAAAAAATTATTTTTTAAATTAAATTAATTTATTTATTTACATCCGTGCATTGCACCCATCCCTGTGATTGTGAATTTCTAAAAGGATTGTAGGTTGTCCAAACAAAAAGCTAAAAAATAAAACTTAGTTAATAGAAAAGTTCTTTTAAAAACCTGTGGAAGGCTAAATAAAATGGAAAATAACCAAGCAAAAATGAGCATTATTCTAACCAAATTTAGCTAAAAAATAATTTCAAAAAATTATTTTTTCAATTTTGTGTACATATAATTTTAGATCTAGCTACTCTTTTCTTTTAATAAAATCAAAAAATACCAAAATATTTACCCAATATTAAATTTGAATTTTCGTCTGTGAAAATCTCCTATCAATCTCGCTTATCCATAAGTAAGTCCTAGTGATAGTGAAAAAAAAAACTTACAAAGGAGAGGCTGTTGGGTGTCCATGGGACTTCGAGATGAAATTTGGTAGACAGATAGATCATACCCTACTTTAGTTATGAAATTTCAACCATTTTCGCTGCGGGGTAACGGGGACCGAGTTATAAGCCCCCAAAGTTTTAGGATCCCCCTCAGTTTCCTTTTCTACATATAAACAATTTTTTTCTACATACAGATGTGTTCTTCGGTGGTGCAGTGGTAGCGTTCTCGAATTTACTTTTTTCTCCCAAGTTCGAATCCCCATTGGGGAAAATAATTTTTTTCAACATAATTTTCCCTTCTGTTTTTGAAAATTTTATTTTTAAAATTTTTAAAAAATTTTCTAATCTTTTTTGAAGTTTTTTAAAAACTTTTTGAAATCACTTTCAAAAAGAAAGGAATAAACACAAGGCTTTTTCTGGAACACTGTGAATGAATAAGGGAAAGAAATAAATATTTACGAAATAAAAAAAAGTTTTTAAAAAATTTTTTGGCTAAAAACATTCGGATAAAAATCACAAAATTAATAGAAGACTAAAATTATGTTAAAATAAACTAGTTGTGCCCATTGGGGTATGGCGGTAAGTTACGTATGCAATAGGTTTAGTTACGATACTTTTTGTTGAATTTGCTCTGCCCTGCCGAAAGCCTAACTACTATATTACCATTATTAAAGTATTGATCGATTAGAACAAGAGGGCTCTGAAGAGACCGATTATTTGGTTAGAGAAGTCAGAGAAAAAATTTACTCTCTTCCCATATAACCGGTCTCTTCAGGCTCTCTTGTTCTAATCGATCAATACTTTGTTAACCCACTCCTATAGGAGGTTGTGGGGGTTGAATGGAGTAGTGCGGGGGATAAGTAAGGTGAGGGCGATTCTGAAGCGATTCTGAGGGCGATTCTGAAGCGATTCTGAGGGCGATTCTGAAGCGATTCTGAGGGCGATGCCGAAGCGATTCTGAGGGCGATTCTGAAGTGGTTCTGAAGCGATTCTGCAGCGATTCTGAAGGGAAACTGAAGCGATTCTGAAAGGATTCTGAGGCGATTCTGAAGGCGATTCCGAAGTCGATGCTGGGTGATCAAAAGTATTGCATCAGAATCCAAAAGGTATCAAATATGGCCTGAGGAAATTCTTGACACGCGGGTGGCTGTAGCCTGAAGCGGGGGCCGTGTCGAGTCGGGCCGGCGGGCAATCAATCGATAATTTATTTTGAAAAAACTTTTGGCCCTCAACCCACCCGCACTCAGGGCCCGTAGAATAAATTCGGGGTTAGGTTACTCGAGTAACTTTTCCCCCACAAAACGAAGAAAAGAGAAAAATCCTTGAACAATTTGTAATCGTATCCTATTATCCTAGTGGGGGAAGGGGGGGTAATGCGTTTCTGTGCAATAATTATTTTTTTGGGGGGCATTGAACATGCTTGCTCATAACAAAATCATTATTTTTTTCTCTAACAACTACATACATATATTCTCAAATTCTAACCTTTTTTATTAATTTTTTTCACTATCCGTGTCATAAAAATAGATAGAAATTTTTTTACTCGTTTTATTTTTTTATATTAAATAATTTTTTTATTATAGGGTATACCTATAACCTAAATTTTTGGATTTGATGTTGACTTGAACATCATTAAATAATTCAAGGTTAATTTATTAATATTTTAAAAATAATTATCTTTTTTTAATTTTAGTAGCTGTGTGGAGTGGCTAGAGAACAAGGATTTACTTGTGGGATAAAACGTATTGAAATTAAACTATAAAAAAGTATTTTTTTGAAATTATTTTTTAGATGAAATTGCCTAATTAAAGACTGGATTTAAATATGAAGTCCGTTTTAGCATATTGACTGAAAATAGTAAATCGGAAACCCTTATTATTTAATAGAATTAGTTTGGCCCTTAACTGACAATAATGAATTAAATCCTAATTTTATTTCACCCAATCGCCAAAATTGATGTATTTTTCTCTTCCGATTCTAGTACAGAATTAGCTGGAACTGGATTTCAAGTATATTATTTTAAATATAATTATTAAAAAAATTTTTCAAGGCTAAGCTTAGAACAATTAATTCTGATTGTGGAGGAGCTTTTTTTTTTGCCGGCCAAGAATGGTCTATGTTAGTTTTGTTTGGATGAATTATATATTGTTTGGATGAATTTCTGGAACTTCGTGATGCTGGGGGCTTTAACTGAATGTCAACATCCTGCTTATACTACAGAACCATTACAGGGAAAAAGGAAAGAACTATACGTACAGGTGGTGATAATTTCAGTAATTGTTTAAAAGGATAGGGGAAAAGGATTTTCCCAAGTCATATTATTTTTTTAATAAGTGATTTTCTTTAGATGGATTAATGTAGTTCCCTCGAAGCTTATTTAATTCCAAAATCAATTTATAAATAAAAACACTATTTATTCCTGATATTTCCCTTTAATTTATTCAGGAACCTCAATGCTACATTTCAAGTACTTCAGTTATACAATTAACTGCTTCTGTTCTTCAAAGCCAATTCTCTACCAGTTTTCGTTTCGAACTTTTTCTGCTTGCAATCGAAGTATTGAATTCGATGGAAATGGTTAAAGATTTTCACGATTTGTTAAAAATTAATTTTTTCTATTTAGTTCCCGAGGGTGTTTCATTAGCTTCTGGACGTATTACTTCTCCCAATTATCACCATTCCCCTTATTTGGCTAATTCTAGTTGCACAACAAAGTTTTAAATTTAAAAATCTTTTATTTAGAATATTTCCTTAATTTAAAGGTTAATTGCAGCCGAGGATCATCGTCTCTTTCTCGTTTTTAAACATTTTGAATTAGAAAGGGGCCGTCACAGAATGTTACCTCAATCAATGTTATTTCATCGTTTTCGACCATTTGGTATTAATTCAGATAATTTCATTGGTACAGCAACGAGGGGGCTGATAATTGTTTATATGATTATTTCAATATTTGTTGTTTATCATCAAATAATCAATTAAATGTAATTTTAAAAAATTTAATTAAATTAATTTTTTAAAGACAAATAATTCATTTGAAAATACAAAAACTTTTTGTGGTTCCTGGTTACCCCCTTCATTAATTTCTGAAAATAACAAAATTGAACTTACTCTTACTACAGATGCTTCTATTATGGGAAGTGGCTTTGAAATTAATTATTATTCTGTTAGGATAACAAGTATAAATTAATATTAAATTAAAAATATTATTGTTAAAATTTATTTGCAGTTTTTATTTAAAGTCGTATCCATTGTTGGGGGCATTTTCATTGTTGGGGGTCAGTCGTATTCATATTAAAGGAGAGAAAGAAGATTATAAACAAGGACCTCCAGGATTGCCAGGAAAATTAATTGAAAAGGTAAAGATTTATAGAAATTAAATATATATTTTTAAAATTTTCGGGTGTTAGGATATCCCAAACAGCATTGGAATTATTAGCTGTAACACCTGATTGTGCTATTGGTTCTTTAGTTTTTCCTCTTATTAAAGTACATAGTGGTTGAAACAAATTATTGTAAGTTATATTGAAAGTTTATTTTCTGATTTTTTATGTCAAGTTTATTTTTTTGTATTTATTTTATTTAGTATGATTACTTTACTTAGTTTATTAAAGTACTTAGAAGAATTTATTTGGTTAATTCTGATTTTATTCCTTTTAACTTATTCCGAGCTATACTTTTTACAAAAATTTATTTTCTGATTTTATTTTCTGTGTGTTTTCTTTTAAATATTTTCTGATTTTATTTAAATTTTATTTTTTTCTCAGCTTGGAGGAACACTTATTACTGCTTAATCTGGAACTAAAGAAAGGATTGTTGATGAAAATGCTTCTGCTCCTTTAATTTCGGTAAAATTAAAATAAATAAATTAAATTTACGAATTTTAATACAAATTCAGAATTTAATTTAAAAATTTTTTTAAAGAATTTTTAGATGGTACTGTTCAGTGTCTTTTTTTACAGATCATTAAATTGATAGTAAAGCTAAATATGTCCCCGACAAATTTTAGTTACATAAATTCCTAAACCTTTTGTCTTAAAAATACGTCAGAACAAAAGGCTTAGGAATTTATATAAATAAAATTTGTCTGGGACATATTTAGCTTTACTATCAATTAATGAACTTTCAAAAGAGAAACTGAACATTACCATTTAAAACAAAGCTCATAAATTACATAGTCATTGCTTTTTTTTACTTATTATATAAATTATTCTAAACTTTTAAATTTATATATAAGTTAATTTTCTTTTAAATTATAAATTTTAAAGTAATTTAATAATTTATTTAAATTTAGTAAAATCTTAAACAAAATGTCTACAACTAATAATAATAAAAAAAGAAAAACTACAACTTCATCCTCACCTCCGAAAAGACAAAACTTAGTGGAACAGTCACCAATCCCTTACACACCTTATAGAGAACCAAGACCAGCTAATCAACAACTTATTTCTCAAAATACATTGCCAATGCCACAACCCACACAACCAATTCCACTAAATTCAACCCAAGTAATTAATGCAGGAAATATACAGACTACTCCAAATATACAACAACAACAACAAGACCAACCAAGTGTCACTGAAGAACAGGCTTTGCTTAAAGAAGTAAGTCATTACAAGAAAAAATTTCTGATGCATTATTTTTAAAAATTTATAACGGATCTAATCTTTTGTAAAAATAATTAGGAAAATATTACTTAAAAATTTTTTTAAATGTTAGATTGCTGAGAAAAGAAAGGCAAGAGCTATAAAGACTAAACCTGAAAATATTCATCTGATTAAACCT